ATAATTTACTATAATTAGTATCAGTATCCATATTAGTATTAGAAGAGATAACAGACTCCTGGCATGGGAAATATAAAGAGAAGATGAAGTAGAGGAAGAGAAAAAAGTAACTGGGCAGGATAGGAAAAGAACAATTTGTGGAGAGTATCTGAAATGAGGAAGGAGAGAGTACAATAAGCTCTTTGGCCTCTTTGGCTGGGTCTCCTTTACTATAAGAATTAATGGAGGGATTTGCTTCTGCTTGAATTCAGTTCAACCCAGACTATCCCTCTCACTATTTGCAGAGAGTCCTGCAAAAACCTAGGCAGCTGGCTCAAACAGCAATTCCATGTAAGCCTTTTGCTGGATTCAACCCCCACCAGGGTCCCCGAACAGTCTCAGAGCGTTCTTTCCTTATGAAATGCCGTTTTCATCACTTTGCACATCTGAGCTTATTGGCACTGCAGCAGTACATGTGTTAGTGTAATATATTTTTCAGCTACATTCTTGGAACTTGATATTAGAACATCTGAACTCCCTTCACTCAGAACGCTGTTCTTTGGAGGGAATGGCTTTCCATGAGTTGCATGTGCATTCTCTGTCAATGCTGCTAACATCGGATGTTCTTGCTTTGGCAATAGATGGAAATGTAGCCATTTTTCTCTTTCGCTTTTAGAGTTAGTTGATGCTGGGAGGGGGGATATGGATGAGAGTCCAGTTAGTCATAACAATAATAACTCAGCCATGGGAATCCAAGGTTATTGCACCCAGAGCTGATAAAGATTTGGCCAGCTGGAGAGCTGGGAAGAAAGCCCGGGCTTCAAGCTAATTGGGGAATGTGATTTATGACAGTTAATTGGAGGAAGGAATTGTGCTTTGCTACTTTGTGCCCAGGGGAGGGGAATTCAGGTTTTGGCTTAACTATGTAGTGCTGATACTTTGTTTCTCGAATAAAAGATTCTTTAAGGTAAATAATGCCTCGAAGTTCTTTTGAAGTGTTTCATCTGTCGGAACCATGATATTCTCCTTCAAAGGAGAAAACAGCTGTCCTTGCCATATTTATATAATTAAAGAAACAATGTGCGCTTCAAGGTGTTGGTCATCATCTTCAAAGA